CCATTTATTGGTTGGGAGTGGTCGTTTTTGCTTCAATCTTTTATTCCTGCGGGTCTGTAGAAGGTGTTTAGCGCATGGATTTGGGTGGTTTACGATTCGCTTTTTATAATTATGGCTTTAAAGTGAATTAAATATGATTATATCATTTAATAAAGAAATTTGCTAATAATTTCTTAAAATGTTCGCTATTTTACTATCATGATCCCTTGTGCGTTTCTTGTGCTGTCCTTCAATTCTGAAGCCTGAAATCTATCATCGGAACTATCTGAGTCGGAACTGAAGCCATAAAATAGAAGTTAGCTTCCTGTACAGGCACTAAAACTGCACTGACACTGCTGCAAATCTGTTGTCTGCTTCAACTTGTATAGTTTTGGAGAGCATAAAACATATTTACGCTGACAACGTATGCTCCATAACCGGCCATGTTCCACGACCTATTGTTTGATACGGCCTAAGACAAATGCACATGCATATGCTCCCTTGTGCTACACTTCAAGTTCGGTTCGATAATTATTTAAATTCGTTGTAATAAAATATACTCACAAACGCAGAAAGCTCTCTATACTTACATTATTATTAATATTATTCGAATTCGAGATGTGGGAGCAACACATTTTTCTACATTTTACTTCACAAATTTCTGCATCTTCATGCATCAATATTTTCTGCCTTGATTTTCAAACCCATTCTTCTTTGATCTATTTCTATCAGACTATTTTATATTTGATGGCGTATTCTTCGTAACACGTTCTACAGAAATACTTTACCGGTTCTTTTCATATTTTCCATTATTTTCCACTTTTTTCAAACACTCCCCTTTTTCCAAATATTGTTATTCCAACTTCTAACGAATATAATTAATTTAATCATTTTTTGTAAACACAATATTTTATTTAGAATAGCAATTATGAAAAGCACTATGCTAAGATTTATAAATTAGTTCAACTAATTAATTAGTTTTGTAATACAATTATATATATAATGTAAAATCATTGGTATTATTAACGTCCCGTAGGGTAGTTATAGTAATGAGTCAAAAATTGAAAATGAAAATTTTTGCATATCTTAACGTTTTGAAGGTTTCTGAACATTATGGCAACCTCAGCAAAAAACTGGATGTGTGTGTGTGTATGTGTGTGTTTTGTGCATCCGCATTTCTTCAAAACATGGTTCAAAAAATATTCGATCCCTGTTAATGGGGAGATGTGCTGATTAGTTTTTGGCAAAGGCAAGTCCAGCCGTTACGAATATACTATAATATAATCGAGACTTCAAGAGAACGGCGTATCCAATTTGAATGATCCAAAAAACATTGTAATGATTGGTAGAAGTTGTGTTTAGTTTTTGGTAGAATTAGGTTCAGCCGTTTTGGCGATACCGAGCTAATCGTGCAAAAAATGGCAATTGTTGAGAGAACCGATTTGAATGATTCAAAAAACTTTCTGATTGTTTTGTCAAAATAATTGCTTTTGGAAAAAAAATATTTAAATTTTTTTTTTAGTATATCAAAAATAATTCAGATTTTAATTTTAATTCTGGTTAAAGTTCTAAAGCTCACATATATACTTTAAATAAATAATTTTAACTTTGCAATTCAGTTTATATAATTCTTATAAATATTACACAATGTTACTGTATTTATACCAGCATTTCGTTACGATAAGGAAAGTTGCAGCAACGTGCCGAAGGCATGATTCCATGCACAACTAGTTTTGTTATTCGTTTTGTTGGAAGCCTTACTCTGTGATTGCAATCAAGTACATCGATTAATTTATCTATATCTCCGTTTTCGTATACCGCCTCAAGTTTAAGTCCATAGAAATAGAATGTGTGTAGACAAATCGTGGATCTTGAACCTCGAAAGAAAATCCATCACATAGCAGATGCCGTAATAATAGATGGCGGGTCGGAGCCTGTAGATATATTTCGTCTGCAATCATCTCCGTAATTTCCAATCAATGGGATATTTTCGGGCTTCGCCCTGCATGCACATTAATCAGCGTGCGCCCCCTTGCCCTGCCTCCGACTTTCTTGTTGATATATCATTTTTCTCCACCGAGCTCGCGCGATGCTCACGCGAACAATAAGCGGCTGATTTAAAAGCTTCGGAGTGCTTTTTTCGTACGCCTTTTTTCCGGGCGCGGAAAAACTTTTCTCTGGATGAGACGGCGCACACAAAGTGTGTGCGTCTGCTGAATTTTACTACTTATGATGTAGATTTGCAGAAATATCATGATGTGCTTTTTTCTGACTCCATACATGAGCGTTTGTTTGTAGTGCCGTCGTTGCCGTTCCGAAAAAGGTGAAGTTTTACATTTTTTGTTCCGCATTCGCGCGAAGTAATGGGTGACGCTGAAAAATATTTATGAAGAAGTTATGGTAAAGAAAAAACGTTGCGAATATGATAACCGGAAAGGAGAGAGTTTCTCGAGCGAGGCCGAGTTTTAAACTTTAAAATGGAATTGTAGCGATTGTTGAGTTTTATGTAGCCGCACATGCTGCTGCTTTAATATTATTTAACTTCGTATAAAAGTACAATGGAACTGCTTGAATTAAACTGATTATATGCAAAGATTTGTCACGAGTCTCACTTCACGAAATTTTATTTCATTTTAAAATTATATTATCGCTCGTATTATAAGAGGAATTTATTAGTATTGTTTCATTATTTCAAATATAAAATAAATAGAATTGCTATGTAAACACTAGTTTACATTTTTATATATTGTTTGTTTTTGTCGGGAGTTTGAGCAACACTAAGTGCTGTCTTAATAATATTTACATTTGTAAGCATGAACTGTTAAATAATTCAATCAATTCTATGGAAAGATTAGTCAAAGATTTTACAAATCATGATCAGGAAATAGATGTATAACCAGCCATCACATAGAATTCTTACGACGTTGCTATTGAGAGAAAAATAGCATTGTTTGAAAATCCATAACAAAAGTATTTTCTGTCGATAACTTTTTTGGTTGTGAGCACTGTTGCTTAGGTTGCGAAACCTTAATATATTTTTTAAGTATACATTATTCAACTGCTATAAGAATAATTGCTAATTTTTAGTTAGATTCAACCGTTTTTTTTATATAATTTCTATAAAAGCTTACACCTGGGTGGGGTGAAAAGCACCAATTGAACCTCTACCCCGACAAAAGAGTAAAACATAAAAAATAGCAACCAAAAAAGTTGATTAAGTTAAAAAAGCAATTTTACAAGAGCTAAATTAACATACGCATATATACGTATATATATGCGTGTGTATAATCACAATATTTTATCATAAGTTGTTATTATTCAAAATATTAGGCAACAATATAAAAATCCTGAAATCTTTATATATTTCGTGTGTTTTTTGCAATATTTTATTAGGAAAACTTTTGACATCTTCTTGTCTGCAAAATGCTACAAGCATTTCCAATAACGGCAGAAAGAACTTTTGGGTAGATAAAACACAAAATAATACATCCCCTCGTGCGTTTCCGTAAGGGTGAGAATTTGGCATTGACGATTTACCCGTTTTCCCGAACGCATAAGGGTTCGGGGGGACCGGCGGACGGGCGGACGGGCGAAGGTTGGCACAGCTGTCGCTGTTCTGGTGCTTTTGTCACATTTGATTTTGATCCGATCAGTACTCGCTCGGCTTGTCGCGTACGACTGGTATTTCTTTTTTAATAAAAAAGCTACGTTTTATTTGCTTTGGTATAATATGAACGAGATTTCATATTATGTCTGTTTTATGACGCGCAAGTAACAAAGTGGCTGTATTTCTAATGGTAAAAAGGTCCACCACCGTTATCTCAAAAAGCATTAAAGTTAAGAATTTTTTAATAACAATATTTCAAATTTCAAATCACCAGCCATCATCTTGATTCTTACAACGTCGCTATCAGGAGATAAGAGGCAATATTTGAAAATGCATAATAAAAGTATTTTCTTTCGTTTCGTATAATAAAATAATAAATCAAAAAGTAAATTAAGTTAAATAATGGAAATCTGCAAGATGTAAATTAAAGATATTAATTTAAATTAAATCATCATTGTAGAAATGTTTTTCTTTTTTGCTGTTTTTCAAAAATTTGTAACCTGCTCACGGCATAGGCGGGGACGGCCAAGCGGCAAACAGGTGCAATGTCTTATTTTAATTTCAAAAGGATTTTACAAAATAATAGTTTCATTATTCAACCATTGCTAAACATAAGTTTTGATGAGATTTTATTTGATTTACTGTAAATCATCTTTATTTGTTATTTTGTCCGAAATATTTATCAGCAGAGCTGGAATAACTACTAATTTAATTTATCTCTTAAATTGCTTTTTTAACTCATTTTACATTTTTATGTACTATTTTCTTATTGTTATCACATCACAAGTGTAAAGGTTTAAGTGGTTCTTTTTCCCATCTCCTCATATAAACTATTCTAGATAATATAATAACAACTGTTAAATCTAACTTTCTTTAATTAGAATTATATGCAGGTATTATAAACTAGAAACAAAAAGACTAACAATGAAAAAATACATTCATTAAAAAATTGACAACGGGGCCGTTTAATTTCCTGATTGACCGATTTAAGGGAGTGACTAAATATACAGTTTTTCCTTTACTTTAAAATTGTATCGTAAAAATATTCTACACTTTCCTTGTTTAATAATGATCGTGGATCTTTCGAACTGCAGATCCCTTTTTCTACAATCTAAAGACAAAAAAAATAAAAATAAATAAAAACAATGACCATTACGATTTCAAAAGCGATTTTAAATTACAAATAAAACAAGATTATTGGACGTATATTAATTTAATTTAAATTAACTTTAATTAAAAATAATTTAATTACATATTATAAATAAATTTAAATTAAAAATTTTAACATTTACATATAATAAATATATTAAATATCTATTTAATACTCTATGATTTAATTTTGCATAAAATTTTGAATTATGTTCATATCCTTCTCGAAACTGTTATCATAAATTACTATCTGGACATACTATACTTAAGCATCTTCATTTTGTTTATTGAGATTCTTAACCTTCTTGCGTTTTGCAGTGCAGCCTTTGCATGAAGGATGCTTAGAAGGAAACTGATCGCGTTCTTCTTTAACTGCTCTACGATTTCGGGATGCGTTAACCTTGGCTTCGTGGGCGGCCGCAGACGCTTTGTAAGCGGCAGTCTTAGTATTGGCATAGTCGGTCCTTGCACTGCTCAGTTGTCTAAGAAGCTGTTCTACTCGGTTTTTTGCTGCTTCCATCAACTGTGTCTTTTCAGACAGTTGTTGCTGTGCTCCTTGCGCCGCCTGCTCTGAGTTACCCACATTTGCTTGTGCCATCTGCACTGCTCCGGTCAATGTTTTCAGTTGCGTATTTGCCTGCTGCGCTGCTTGGATGGCTGCATTCACATTGGCCTGACACTGCTGCAACGAAGCACTTTCTTCTTGTACGACCGCTTCTGCTTCACGCACTTCTTGTTCTAGTTGCTCCACGATTGCCTGTTTTCCTACAAATAAACGATAATTTGTTTTTGTTTACATGATCTTAATTTATACTTTACTAGTGATGTATGGCATCGTGACTTAAGGCAAATTGCTGGAACTTTCCGTACCAATTTTTTTTTTTTTTAAATATTAATTTTTTTTAAACATTGAAAAAATTATAATAGATTTTTGAGAAATTTTAAATTTTTGAAAAAATTGAATATTTAGAAAAAAAAACTTTTGGCAAAAAATGTTTATTTATTTTAAAATATTTTTGAAATTTTGACCTTTTTTTCAAAGCAATGGCACTGCTTTAGCAGCATAGAGACAAAATATCGAAGCGCGTAAGCGCCGCATTGCCATCTAACGGACAAACGACGTTACGGAACCCATTTGATACACATTATCAAAATTACCATAAAATATCTGATAATTCGATGTGCATATGCCTAACGATCATTTTTGGCATTATTTTTTACTTTTTTACTAGATCTCTTAAACCGCTAGACCTTCCTTCCCAAAAATTTAATAAGTTGTTCATTTTGTCAATACAAGTAAAATGGTTTTTGAATTATTAAAATCGGACGCTCCGTTCTTTTAAAAACTAAGTTACCGTTTTTGGCACTTTTTGGCCAGTATCTTTGGAACGGCTAGACCTGCCTTTACCACGAACTAATCAGCACGTCTCCTTATCAATGTGATTCGAATGTTTTTTGAATTGTTCAAATCGGTTGATTCGTGCGCCCAAAACCGTGGATGAATAATTATATCCAAACAAACTCACACACACACAACACACACACCCACACATTCATTTTTTCTAAGGTAAGCCAAAATGTTCAGAAACCTTCAAAACGTGAAGATATGAAAAAATTTTCATTTTCGATTTTTTTGCAATTACTATAACTTACCCTACGCTTTAGTTTTTTGGCTAATAATAAAAGTTACTATCTCAAGTTATGTATGATGATACTACGAATAAATTGTGTGTTGTTTTGTACCTGCTAGTGCAGCTTCTGCAGCTTTAGCCGCTTGAAGAGCTTTCTCGGCCAATTGTGATTTAACCTGATGTGCCGCCTGTTGCCCAGCCACTGCCTGTGCATCGGAAGCGGCTTTTGCTTCTTGGGCAGCTTTTTGGGCAATACTGGAAGCTTTCTGCTTGCTGCTATTTGTATTTTTCCCAGTCATAGTATTTTGTTCTTGTTGCGAAGAAGGAGTAGGACTATTATTGTTGTTATTTTCGCATTCTGGTCCAATGCAAGCCTCATTTTCGTGTGGAAATATATCTCGCTTATCAGTGTAATTTTCACTTGCAGATGTCAGAGTTGTACCATGATCGGAAAATATTTGAATCGCAAAAATTACAGATGTTAGCATGAGCCAGATTTGAAGTTGTATTATTATATTCATTGTTGATTGAATTTTTGAAAATATTTAGCGTCCTGCAGAACGCAGGTAAAAAAAACGTCCTCTTTTTATAAAAATAAATTTGAAAACAAATGTTTGAAAAATTAGGTTCTGAAAATGACAAAATTAAAAGGATAACTAGATTACATGTTTTAAATAATATAATGACATTTTGTTTAAATATTTAATAATGCATTGACTTAAACTGTGGTCGTATCTTTTAAAACCTTTTATTACTTCTATATAATTAAATTATCTTTTGAAAAAAAATTAAAAAATCGCAAAAATATTCAGTTCTCAAATCTATTTCTCATTTTAAGATTTTCAAAACTAAATTTATATTAAAAACTAGCAAACCCGACGAACTCCGTTTCGCCACCAGATGGTTTCGTGAGAAAGATGAAGAAATTTTTTGTTTGTTTTATATTTGAAAAGGCAAAATTTAATTTTATTATACAACAGTAATGAATTTATTTCGATTACAAAAATGAAGTATTTTTTAGTTGAACTTCTCTAAGTAAATGAAAGTGAATCCATAATTAATTCGCAAATTTACAACTAATTTTCTTAGCTATAAACGAAACGAAATCGTTTTGTGCGTTCTGGAGTTATATCGTCAGGAAGGAAAACCCGACTTATTTTTATATATATAGAAGATAATCTATTTGAAATTATTTAAAACAGTTATTGATTATTTTTATTACTCGAATTTTTAATTACGGTGCGGAAGTTCCAGCAGCTTGCATTAAGGCACGATGCCATGCACAACTAATTTTCTTAGCTATAAACCTTGCGGAGCCGGGACCTTTCCAACGAATACAAAATTGTCGAAATCGGTTCGTGCGTTCTGGAGTTATTTCGTCAGGAAGGAAAACCCGACTTATTTTTATATATGTAGAAGATAATCTTTCTGAAATTATTCAAAACAGTTATTGATTATTTTTATTTCTCGAATTTTTAATTACGGTGCGTGAAGTTCCAGCAGCTTGCATTAAGGCACGATGCCATGCACAACTAATTTTCTTTATTTCTGTCTCGAGCCCGAGACATTTCCAACGAATGCAAAATTGTCGAAATCGGTTCGTGCGTTCTGGAGTTATTTCGTCAGGAAGAAAACCCCAACTTATTTTTTTATATATATAGAAGATAATCTATTTGAAATTATTTAAAACAGTTATTGATTATTTTTATTACTCGAATTTTTAATTACGGTGCGTGCAGTTCCGGCAGATTGCATTAAGGCACGATGCCATGCACAACTAATTTTCTTAGCTATAAACCTTGCGGAGCCCGAGACCTTTCCCACGAATGCAAAATTGTCGAAATCGGTTCGTGCGTTCTGGAGTTATTTCGTCAGGAAGGAAAACCCGACTTATTTTTATATATATAGAAGATTATAGGCACCGAATATAAAAATTTGACTTAAAAAGTTAAATCTTAATATAAAATCTAACAATTTGATGTTTTTATTGCATACAAGCATGCAAGCATACATCAACTATAAAGGGGAACTCGGGGTTTAATGTAACAGGAGTAAGTAGTTACAAACGTTTCTCAATGGGTTCTTCAACGATGTTAAAATATTTTTTGATCTCAATATAAACCTCAATATAGATTTACAATTCTGTAATAGTCTAGTAGTCTAGTGAATTCATTTGTGAGTATTTATTTATAAGTCCTATAAATTTATATCTATTTTTTAAATTAATTTAAATAAGTTATAAAATTTTTTAGTTTGTTTCACTGAATGACAGTCTCTACGTACACTGAAATGTTTGTATAAATGAAGCTCATTTCATAATTGCTTTAGTTTTTTTGTTAACATGGTGCTATTGTCCGAATCAACATAACTCGTTGATATATTTATTCTAAGGTATGCGAAAATATTATTCAAAATGCCTTGAATCGTAAAGATAATCAAATTTTCATTTTTCATTTAGTGATTTCTATAAATTCACTATATGTAAAAATATAAAAATATAAGTTAACAAATAGATAGCTCAAAGAGAAAAATGATGAATCAATTTAAACAAATTAAAATGAAATTAAAATTTATTTTCTTAGCTTTCCGTAGGGTAAGTTATAGTAATGGCAAAAAATGAAAATGAAAAGTTTTATATATCTTTGCGTTTCAGAGGTTTCTGAGCATTTTGACATACTTTGGGAAAAATCGATGTATATGTATGTAATCGGTGTGTATGTATGTGTGCGGATACATATTTTCGTCGATGATTTCAAATAATTCAAAAAAACAATCGATCCCTACTGATAAGGAGACGTGCTGATAAGTTTTTGGCTAAGGCAGGTCTAGCCGTTTCGGAGATACGAGGCAAAAAGTGCCAGAAAATGGTCTTTTAGTTTTTGAGATAACGGAGCGACCGATTTAAATAATTCAGAAAATATTTCACTTGTATTACAACTTTTAAAATGTTTGTAAGGGCGACAGGTCCGTCTCCGGAGATCCAATAAAAAAAGTAAAAAATAATGCCTAGCTGTCTACGCGGCACTTACGCACTTTGATATTTCGACTCTAAGCCAGCTTATAATTGATTGAAAAAATGTTCAAATTTTTCAAAAACAAAAAAAAACAAAATACCTAAATAAATCAAAATTATCAAAAAAGTCAAATATTTTCAAAAATTTCAAGATTTCTCAAAAATCTAATATTTTCAAAGTTTTTTTTTAATTTAGTTTTCGGTACGGGAAGTTCCTGCAGTTTGCCTTGAACATGATGCCATGCACCACTAGTTGTAATAATATTCAACGGCATTGTTAGATTCTTACAGCAAGGTAATCGTATTTAGTACGGTAATTGTTTGAGTTGCTTTGAGTAGTTATGTAAACGTGGAACTTATCTATCTAAGAAACAGCTGTTATTAAATAATATAACTGGTGGTGCACGGCATCGTGCCTTAAGGTAAATTGCTGAAACTTCTTGTACCAAAATTTTTTTTTTTTTTTTTTTTAAAAAAAACATTTTTGAAAAATTAGATTTTTGAGAAACTTTAAATTTTTGACAAAAATTTACTTTTTTGGTAAAAAAATACTTTTTGGAAAAAATGTTCTTTTTATTTAAAAATATTTTGGAAATCCTGAACATTTTTCGAAGCAATCGTACTGCTTTAACTGCATAGAGACAAAATATCGAAGCGCGTAAGCGCCGCGTTACCGTCTAATGTTACGGAACCCATGTAAATGTAAATAAAAATTATACGTATTATTAAAATCTTCATAAAATATCTGGTAATTTGATGTGCATATGTCTAATGATCATTTTTGAACGCCAAATGGCTTTTCTTTTTACTTTTTTCACTTAGATCTCCGAAACCGCTAGATCTGTTTTTCCAAAATTTAATCAGTTCTTCATTTTGTCAATACAAGTAAAATGTTTTTTGAATTATTAAAATCGGACGCTCCGTTCTCTGAAAAACTGAGTAACTTTAGACTGTAATATATCATTAGCTGAATCGATGTAAAATATATATGACAAAAGGCATTTAGTGTTTTTTTAAATATCACTTCAAACTATCCAAAGCGTGTTTGTGTTCCCTTAAAATATGTATCCTTTTCGGATATCATGTACGATTTTTCCAACATGACATTGGCAATGCGATGGACATGACAGTAAACTATCACGAAACGAACCGATATTTGTAAATATTTAATTAAATGCAATCACGCGTTTACGATTGATTCTCTGTGATATCGGTTTATTAGAAATTAATGGTAATAATAGCGTATTTACATACAGGAATACCAATATAATTATTGAACGCCGATAGAAAATTCATTTCAAGTGGATTTTTATCCACAAATAATTTATTGTATAATCTAGTTAAAGCAGTTTTCGAATTCATAAAAAAGTTCTATGTTTGTTTTTTCCGATGTTTTGTGTATGTAAAAATTATATATATATATATATATATATATATATATCTATATATATAATCACCATTATACCACCATTATCCAAAAACTACTAATTTTAAAAACTATCTTGAAGTAGAGCAAAAATTATGTGGAACCATCGTATAAATATATATATATATATATATATATATCTATATATATATATATATATATATATATATATATATATACATGGTCTGTTCAAAAAGTACCCGGAATTTTCGTTTTTTCAAAAAAATATTTATTTATTCGTCTACATTAATGTGGTCCCCTTCAAAGTAGTCCCCCCCAGATATAATACACTTATGCCAGCGTTTTTTCCAATTTTCGAAGCACCCTTGATATTCACTTTTTGATATGTCCTTGAGCACTCTCAGCGATTTTCTTCAATCGAGGAAAACCGCCGTCCTTTCATGGGTCTCTTCAACTTTGGGAATAGGAAAAAGTCACACGGAGCCATATCTGGTGAATTTTTGCACTTTGCAACACTTTATTTCATTTTTTACGCAAAATTTAATACAAATTCTTTGACTTTTCAATTCTTCCATTGTAAAAATCGCCGAGCTCAGAAAAACACGTCGAACCTTAGCGACTACCACAGACAAAGTAAACAGTGAATATAGCTGAAAATTTCATCATACTTTAGGGGCATGTATACCAACACAATAAAAAATTTTGACAATCAGACACTCGAGACCCGCGAAATTTAATTATTAGTAATTCCGGGTACTTTTTGAACAGACCTCGTATATATTAGGGTGGGTCGATTTAAAAGTCACTTAGGCACATATGATTTTCGGATATTAGGGATCAAAATAAGATACTTTGCTGAAGAAACCATACCTTTAAAATAAATTCTGATGTCCCGCCCTAATATATATATATATATATATATATATATATATATATATATATATATATATATATATATATGTATATATATATATATATATATATATATATCAGATGACCCGACAGACGTTTTCCTGTACCCACGTCTACAATTTAATATTTAATTTTTTAATCTTTTAATAATCTATCCTATACATTTTAATATTCTATTTAATGTTCTATTTATGGACTTAGCATAAGAT